TCTTTCCAGCTTTCCCAGTACACCCCCTCTAAGATGTTTCTCTTCTTCCATATGGTTTCTATTATACACCTATGCAGCTCATTCTTTAAGAAAATGCCAGGTCACAAAAAGTTTCAAGCCTTAAGGCTCCTGTTCTCAGATATTTTGAAAAGCACTTTCTTCTCAGTCTGAGTTGGAATGAGTGGCCCAAAATGGATCTCAACTACCGTCAAAGACAAGAAAACAGCTTTTACTTGAAATCTAAGCAACCAGCTTGTCATCCATCCCTCTGCAGAGGTTCATTCTGCGTGCCCTGGATAATGGAAGTCTCCATTATTCAATAAAAGAAAACTTGAATGTTAATTATTTCTGTTTCTAATACTTTAAGAAAACCTACCTATGGTTTTGCTAAAGAGGGGCAGGAAATAAACTTGCACAGAAAAACCTTAACAGTTAACTGGAGATGTCAGTGCACCAAGGTAATGCTAAAGATGAGGAGTCTGATGAGAGTTGCAGAGTATCTTCTTTTCTTAGGTCTTGTGAAAGCTGCAAGTACTCAGCACAGTGCAGACACAAGCGAGTGTCCCGACACTACTACGGTACTCCAAGGTCATGTTACTATCTATATCTGGATGGGGAATTACAGCTAAGATTTTACCAAAGAACATCACCATATGTGATGATTTTACAGAGTTTTTCTTCTCTTGGATAACTGGAGGCATAGCAGCTGATCAGTATTTCGAAGGCCAGAACACATTCAGACTAGTCTCACAAGACGAGCCAGTGGGAAATCGTACTCACATGCCTCTTCTCAGGATCTGTACCATGTTGGCCTTGAAAACATGCAATTAATCGCTTCTGTGCAATGTGGCAGACAGATCTCACAGTGTCAAGACGTCTCTCGATCTAGTCATCAGGAGGGGGAGAAGGGAGGAAGAGAAAACAAAACAAAAAACAGAAGTTATTTTCCTGGCCTCAGCAGAAAATCTTCCTCCTGCACCACACTTAGTTCTGGGCTGCATACTTCTCAAGTTCTACAGCTTACAAGAAGTTCAGATGCTGAACTATGACAAAGATATACGTTAATCAACTGTTCTTTTAAGGGATTTTAAATAAGGAATGTGGACTATTTTATTTCAAAGAACACCAAAAGCAAAGAAAGAGACGAGCACTGGGACAGAACTGCTTATGGCACTGAGCTCTCTATGCACAGCACCAAAAGAATGTGGTTTATCTGCATTTTGATGACTCACCAAGAATAAAAGGAGGCCCTTTGGAATGGCTTCTATTTAAAAAGCAAGAAAAAAAAATAGATTTCATCTGTAGAAATAATCTGAACAGACTCCAGTTTTTGATACAGCTCTGAAATCACTCCTGTTACACTTTCAGGAGGGTAATAATTCTCCCCAGCTTTCCTATCAATCATAAACACAGATTAGCTGACAGAGTAATAATTTCCGTGCTAAATTATTATGCCCTGTGTTAGCTCCTGTTAAGGGCACCGTACCTGGATTTAAAGGAGCAGATATACTGCTGGTTTTCCAGGGGAGACAGACTTCTGTGTTCTAACAAACACGAAATGCTACAAATTCTCATTTAGAATGTTGTACACTGTTTTTTCCTCCCAACAGGTTTATTTGGCACTGCTACGACAGGATACGTGTATTCCTAAAGTGGTTACAACTGGAAGGATGTAATTAGGTCTGAAAAAAAGCAGCTAGTAAAAACTACAGCTCCGAAAAGGGAGAGCAAACCCAGCAGAAGAGGAGCCCTCAGGGGTGTGAGCTGGAAGAAGTTGGGAGGAAGAAGATGGCAGTGGAGGGAGGCACTTGGCGAGGATCAGTGCAGAATCACTGCTGTTGGACGCGGGAGCCCCGTCCTGAACGCACAAACAAGCGCAGGACTGGGCTCCCTGTTCCCTTCAGCAGGGGGGAGCAGCAGCTCTGCTAAGCTGTAGCCTGGAGGAGCACCCAGAGGTGGGCCCTGGGGCTGTGCCGCCCAGCAGGCGCCTTTGCAAGTCCAAAGGGAGGGTGAAAAGGAACCAGCAGAGGCGGGTTGGTGAGCCGAAGGACCAGTGTAGGAAGAGGGAAGTTTCACTGGCTACATGAGGCACCAAAGGGACTAAAAGCTCTTGACAGCCACAGGATGGATCCAAGTTGAGGTGCTCAAAAAGCTTCATAAAAATCTGTTAGGGTGGAGTAAGGTGCAGAGAAACTGCCCAAGAAGGGCTGCTCTGAAAGCACAAGGCATTGCCTTCAATTCACAGAGCGTATATCAACAAGTGCAAAATTAAGTCCACTTCAAAAAAAAGTCCATAAAAAGGTACATGAACAAGAGGTGCTGTTTGTGGTCTGCTGTTGCAGCTAAGACAATTCATTTCTTGTGTTATCTTCAAAATTAAATACCACCAACCATCCACTATTTGTGAAAGGGTTTATATTTGCTTGGTCACGTAGTTAAGACTTCTTAAAATATTCAGCACAGGTTTTGTGAAAGCATTTATTTTTGCAAGGTCACATAGTTAAGACTTCTTAAAATACTGAGCACAGTTTTTTTCCACACCTGAAACACGGTGACACGTAACTGCACCGTGCCACAGAGGCCAGCAGCCTGGCCCAGCCCTCACCACCATGCCCCGTGGCTCACGCTCCTCAGCAAGGCTCCGGAGCACAGACATTCCCAACAGCCTCTTCCCAAGCAGCCTGAATGCCAGCCTCAAAGAGCAGAAGACTGATAGGAGGAACATGACCCCAAAACTTCATGATAATATACTCTCCTCTCTGATCTGCTTTTTAGTTCAAAATGTCAGGAAAACCATGAAAGACATTCATCTCCATTAAGGTACCTTTGAACTGAAAATGTGACCTACAGGCCCTGCTGTCTGTACCCACAGGGCATCTCCAGTGGACAAAACATCCCACAATTGCTTTATTATATCCTGCAAGGGCATGCTGGAAAGTGGGTCTATTGTAGAACCCTTCCCAGTACTGAATTCTATTCCTTGTCTTCAGACAGGAACACATCTAACAGAGATACTTGAAACGGAGCATTACAGTTCAGAAAAAAGCTATGGCAATCCCATGTCAAAGCTTGAGCTAAATATAAAAAAGAACACTGTGAAACATGTTTATAAAGTGAATAGTACCACGCTTTTAAGCTCTTTAGTTAGATAAGAGCCTTCCCTCCCCCTCCACAAGCCCCCAAGAGCAAACAAACAAGTGAGTAAATTCTTCCACTTGGGTGTAGCCAGTCTGCTCTGTGCCTGGGAAAGCCGTGCTTGCAAAATTTTTTTGGCAACAAGCAGCAGTACTTTTGGCTTTCACTTCTTGTTACTATTCTGCAGCTAACCAAGAAAACAGATGGGCCCTTGAAGGCTATCAAGGTGTCTTAACACCCTTTATGCCCTTCAGTTGTACACATCTCTCCAGAAATTACAAATAGGACTGTCAAACTGTTAAGGTATTCAAATAAAGCAGTCCCCTGAAAAACACCATAAAGTGTTTCAGGTCAGCTCATTTCAGCGTTACTCAAGATGATTTCATGAACTTGTGCTGAATTCAAGTTTTAAAGCTGATATATTCTCTCATCTCCCACTTTAATCTGAACAGCTGGAGAGATGTGAAATAAAAGCACTTCCATCATTTATTTGGCTTCCCTGTTTCATATACAGGTCCTGAACTGAAGCATACTCAGATGCTTTGTCCTCAGTTGGAAACAGCCATCACCCTCGATGTCCCCTGGAGCAGCCAGCCTGGCTTCCCTTGACAATTTTTATTCTGCCATTTTTATAAAAGTACTTTCACAAAGTAATCAGAGGAAGAAAACTATGTTGAACAAGTCTGTAGTCAAATTTGTCTCATGTCATCAGTCAACCTTGTTAATCTAACAATCGCAACTGAAATCCCACCATTACTAAAGTACTGATTGGATGGTACACCTTCAAAAAGATGACAGGTCTGCAAACAAATCAAGTGTCGGTGTGACCAAATATCACAGGGTAAACAAGCAGCATTTGTACAGTTATTTAGAGCAATTCCAGACTTTCAGAAATAACTGACATTATCAGAAAGCAGTTGGCATGTTTTTTGCCACTTCTCTCAAGGCCCAAGTTGACCCCCTCAAGAAGACAGAAACCAGCTGTGCCTGATCACAGCTTCTTCCCAGCTCATCATCCTCCACCAGAGAGACTGCCAAGTCATTAGCACTAATGGTTCATAGGCTTAACAAGCTAGTTCATCTAATTAAAAGCAAAAATGCTTCCTCCTTCACTTTATCAAGCCATATGATAGGATTTAGAAACAAGTACCTGAGGTTTTCACTGAAACTGTACCACAGCTTTTTTGTGTGCTGAGAAGTCAGCCAAAGGCATCTTTGTCTTCAGCCCTGTCATTTGCAGTGGTTTTTTTCCCCCACATTAAGTATTCCACAAAACTCAGAAGGCTCAAACTTCACAAAGAACATTTAAAAAATACATATTAACTGTGTTACGATACCTGCAACAGGTCTTCACTGAGCACCTCTGTTTTCTCAGCCCTAAGGGAGGAAAAAAAGACCATTGTCAGACCAGTTAGCATGTTCAGGGTCAAAGATTGCGACAACGCTCTCAAGAAAACCCCTTCACTTTCAAGTTTTAATCCCATTATGACCATTGCAGCAAACACCACCCCCTTCACCAGGTGGTAGGCAGAACCGGCTCCCGGCCCCTGCCGAGGAGAGAGTGCGGATGTGATCTGCCCAGGACAGGGTGCTCAGGAAAGCCTGACATTCCCGGAATTCCCAGCCCACAGCACAAATCCACTGCACCAAGTGCAACAGTATTTCAAACTGCACACTGCTTAACACCACGCAAACCGGAATGCTGCAAAACGTCACCTGAATGCAAAGATGGAGTCGAATTCAAGTTGCTTCAACATATGTTGTTAATCAGGTAATGTTATCAGCACACATGAGACAAGTAGAACAGGCAACTTCATCTCTTTACATTTTACCACTGCAGAGCTTTATCCATCTGCAATCGGTGGAAACAGCAGCCTGAACACCTTCCCTTAATCCTGCATGCACACAACCTTCATCAACAATCTCCCATTACCTACTTTTGCTGACTTCCATACTACTAAAACAATCGGAAATATTTAATGCTTTAAAAGATCAGAAGCTAATACTATTCCCCGTAGAAGTCTACCCTCAACAGAAAAATATCTGAATACTCACACATACTTCCAGACAAAGATGTTAACAGTTGTTACAAATACACCCAAACCTCCAAGCATACAATTCCACACCTTTTTCCAATCCCTGTTTACACAAACTTAAAATTGTTTCATGTTGACCCAGATTTGTTTGGTGTTGACTCATTTGCTGTAACACTGCTTTACCCTACCTTTGCTAGATCTATAAAATAGAGAAAGAGAAATTCAGTTCACCCGTGAGCTCTTCTACTTGGCTGCTCACTGTTCCTGCACACCTATGGCTAGAGAACCGGGAGGTACTCCAGGACTCTGTTTTCCTGCGCAGAGAGTCTCCCCCACTGCTGTCAGAGCTCCTCACCTACTACACAAACCTCCTTCTGATCCTACAATCTGTTCCATTTCCTACTGCAAGGCTGGTCACGCACAGAGAGTTCATTTTCTTGCTCAGGCTTCATCAGCTGAAGAGGTGAAATGCCTCCAAAGACAAGATTCATTCACTTTAAAGGTTTTGTTTGTTTGTTGGGGGGCTTTGGTTTGGTTTTTTCCCTTGTTTATTTGTTTAAGGCATTTGACTTCAATTTCATGGCACATATCTGCTTGAACTATTTATGAGCTGTAAAGTGTTTAATAATTAAACACCAGAATACAGTCATGCTCAAAACCTCAACAAGACTAAGAGAAAAGCCGCTTGAATACTTTGATAGGAACATAAACCGCAAGCACTGTAATATTTGTTTAGGAAAACACATACAAGATTGATAAACTTTTCTTCCACACAAACAGAAATACTGTTGTCTGATCAAAATTATATCCTGTTAGAGAGCAATTATTTGGGGAGCTTTGGGGGTTTTTTTTGTTGTTGTGGTTTGTTGTTTTTTTTTTTTTTTTATCCCACCAGAAATTACATGGAAGAAGGACAGTGCAGGAATACTCCAGTTGCAGCACATTCGTAGCCAGATTTTAACCTAACCTTAAGTGGCAACTACCACACGCATCAGCCAACTGATCTGACAGAAGCATACAAAGCCACTAAATATTTCTGTGGGAACATAGTGCCGTGCATGATACTGGTATTACACTAAATTCTTGAGCAGCCAGGGTTTTCTGTCCCGTAACAGACTGCGTAAGAGAGGAGCCATCTGCTTCTAAAACTGAACTGGATACTGTACATGCCGTTCGTGAAGACGGGGCTGGATTTACTGTGGCCTCTGGTTTCAAACACCATTCTCCTCAGTCCTGCGCGGATGCTTTTCAGCAGCAGCATTCCTGAAGTCGTACCCACCTTTAGGAAAGAGGGTATGGCACAGAGTCTATAGGATGCTACCAAACGGCATATCGCTTTAGCTTTGTACCTCGCCTGGACACATCTTGGCAAACGGCTCATCTCAAATACCAAGTCAGCTGAGGCAATGCACACAGCAAGGCACCAATTCAGATACCTGCCGGGTCGAATCCGTTCCTGATCGAGGCACTGCGCTGTGGCCAGGAGCTCCCTGAACAACATGGCTCAAGGTGTCTGCTGCCAAACACAGCCCGCTTCCCACAGCAGATGCAGCTGTTCGTAAATAAAACAGCCCGCTGGAAATTATTTAATTCTGATAGTTAAGAATAGCTACTTGCATTCCCAACCGCGTTAAGATTTTCTAGTTAAAGCAATCAGCACTGAACAGGAGACTGGCCCGGCAGTTCTGCAGAGCTGCAGCAGCTGCTCTGGCAGCCTTCACCAACATCCAGGTCTAAGTTGCCTTCTTTTGCCTAGAAATCTGTTTAGGAGAAAATGCAACTGGTTTCTACACCTCCATTACGCAACTGAAGCTCGCACTGACTCCCCTGGGTATGTCTCCAGTCTTTAATTTGGCTTCGTGTAAGAGAAAGTCAGACGAGAGGAAGGCATCCCAGCAGGTCACTGGCCCTGGCTGCTGACACACTCACTGCCGTGAGACGAAACAGCCACCGCAGCAGCACAGCCCTGACACACCAGGAGAGAACACACAACCTCCACATACCCGGCAGCTTCAGGAAATAAACCAGCCACCTCCCATGGCATAATTCAAAACAGCTTCTAAGAACATTTAGAGTACTTATAACTGGATATGTACACATCGTTAACACACAGAACTGCCAGGAATCACAGGAACAGGGGTTGATGGAGATATCACAGAATTCTTCCCACCCATGCACCAATAACCAAACTACTACAAGATTTTGTAAATTCACTTTTAGCTATTGGGAATAATGAAATGCATTTTATAGAAATTATCGTTAGAGGCAACAACGTTTGTTCTATTATTCTTCCATATTTGTGTTCAGCAGAACCTTTCATCACACTGCTGTAAAGTTACCGGATGCTTTTGAATGGCTTTAGCCACAACATTAATTTAAAAACACCAAATAACAGAACTTCTATACAACTTCAAATTAATTAAAAGTTTGATTTCTCCTTCCCCTTTTTCCTAGGAAATTATATCCATTCAAGTGCAAAGCAAAGATGGCTCAGTAACGTCCTAGCAGAAGGTTGGGTCCATTTTAAAAACGATTACCCGCAGACTATATAGCACTACCTGAAGTGCAAAACAATTTTCATGTATTTATCTTAAGCACTCTTTGGACACCTAACTGGTTTATCAAGGATTGAAAGTTGCAGCTTGAAAAGCCGGATCTCCTCTGAAGGCAGGGATGTTGTCAGCAGCCATCGGTGGCAGCAGGACAGCGTCCCCAGGCCAGCGCTGATTTAGAAAAGCCGCTGATGACGATGTCAGGTTCGGAAATGCAGAGAGGGAAGACCTCACCCTTCCTGCAGGCCCACATTCCACCTTTAATAAGGAAGCCACGAAAGAGCCACTAAATAATATTGCTTTCGGTGACCACAACCATGAAACAGAAAACGCAGCCTTGCGATAGCAGCACAGCCCATCTCCTTCCCGAGCAGTCGTGAAACCAAACATACCTCCTCTCCCTCTGAGTAACAGGTACCATGAGGTTAAAGTTTACATCTAACTGCAGCTCCATGGGGCACTAACTCCTTCTGCCAACTAATTAGAGAATCAGCAAATTTATAGAAAATAACAGAATTTCCTCTTCACGGCTAATTCAGCTTTTGTCCTTATCCCTTATTAGGTCTTATCTGTATTGTATGTAGTTGGTTGCATGAAACAATTAAGAAATCCTTCTGGAATCAAGAACTGATTAAGAATTGGACGATTCCCTTGCAGAGAGTGTTCCCAAAGGGCTTTATCAAGCCCAGTAGCTGGCGTCCAGCCTGGAGACCCTCCACTGGAAGCCTCCCCCACAGCACATCATGAACACAGCCCATCCCAACCCGAGATGACACAGCCCAGACTGCAGCAATTTACATTCCCAGCAGTTAAACTCAACACAGTCCAAACAGCGAATTCTCAGTTGCAAAACGAAGTCACCCCAAGCCATTGCTAATGGGGAAAGCACGCCCTGCTGTCCCAGCCCCTGCTGTGTGCCGGGAGGTCCCAGCGTGTCGGTTTGTGACTGAGCTGTTTGTGCAGGATGGGTGGCAGGATCTGCCGGCACGCGGCAGGGAAACAGGGACCTGCCCAGCCCGGAGCCTCCCGACACCTTCTGCATGAGACAGGAAAGAACAGAGCACGAGCAGCAGCCTGGGGACACTGGACTCTGCGCACAGGGCTTGGCATCACACCCTGCCCCAGCAGCAGCGCACGGGATGTTCAGCTGCCTAAATATAAAATAGCTGCTGGACTGGCAGCAGGCCACTGGATGCAGGAACGGAGCTGGTCCCCCAGGAAAGGAAGGTTCCTGAGAACTGGCAGTGAAATTTTTCTGCTACACTAGGCAGGATACCTGTTACGCCAGAACCTTTACATGAAGCAACTGGTACAGTTTTTTAATTAAAATTCAGCAGTGCATTTTAAAAGGCTGCTTCTAAAAACAAAACTGAACAATCATTTGTTGCAGCTATAACTACCTCCTTAATGAGTAAAGAGGATAAAACTATTGAATTCCCTAAAAACGGTACTTTCAAATGGGTTCATGCTGGATTAGTACAACATTTTACCCACCGCAAGCATCCAAAGTGCAGAGCTCCGGGCGCTGCTGTCGCTGTCAGCAGCTGCAAAAGCAGCTCTTTGCTCCTTCACCATCCCTCTTCTGCGCTGCACAACCCTTGGCTCAGCCGGGGCGTAAGGCAGCTCGGGCAGCCAGGAGTCTGGCAGAAACTATTGCTCTTCAACCAAACCAGCTCCCCAGATTCACTCTGCTCACCAATAACCTTGCTGACACAGCTCTGGGGTGGGAACAGGTAGGAAAGATCAGGTCAGGCTCCGAGTACAGCTCAGGTGATGGTCAGATTCTTCACAGCCAGCCAAAAACCCTGACCAGAGCTAGCTCTTCGCTTTCTGATACCGTAACACTGAAAAACTGTCATTTACAACAAAAACTTTGTTGCCAAATTGACTCTTCAAGCTATTTTTCTTTTCAAGACAGCAAATAGCATACTTGACATGAACATGACAGGCCACATAAATGCCGGTGGCATTTTCTGTCTGGGGATAGCATGGCCAGGAGTAATTGCTTTAACTCCTCCCAAACAAAATCCAAGGGGTTCGAGAGGGGAAAAGCTGCATTTTTTATTCTAGACATGTTAATTACAAGACCTTAGCTTGCCATGACATTTTAAAAAAAGTATTGCATGTGTCCCCAGCTGACCTCCTCTCCAAGTGTTTTATAGTATCATTCATTTTATTTCTTTCCTTCTTTCCAGCAAGGCCCTTCAGCGCAGCTCAGTGTGCAGGGCTCAGGCAGAACAGCTCTCACCCCCCAGCTTTAAAACTCGCCCCTCACTTGTTCATTTTACAGCTCCTCCCCACTTCCAGGCCAAAAGGCTTTTCTGTGCATCTGGAAACAGCGGATGAGAATTCCCGAGATAAAAGTGTTTATCTTCCACATGGAAAGAATTTACATTTCCGTGTATAAAATAAAGAGGTTCTATTAAATCAGCACTGGAAATTAAAAAAAACCCCAAACCTTCCTCTAAACAGAATTTGAGATCTCCTTGGGTTCAGAGCAGGGTCCTGCCCACCACCTGGGCACGGCTCTGACCCAGGGGCTGATCTCCAAAGCAGGTCAAAGCTGCAGAACCAGTGGAAATGTTCACTCCTGAAAGGCTAGAAAGGAAGGAACAAGAGCAAATCTGACATGAAGAGCCTTAAAAACTTGGAGATTCACAACAGAACAAGTGACTCAGTCCAGTGTCAAAGTGGAAACAGAAACCTTGACTCACGCAGCGTGGCCGGGAGCAGGCGGTCAGTGATGCCACAGGAGGGCAGTTCGCTTCATGACGAAAGGACAAGTCCGCATTCCTGAACGCTGGGAAGATTTCAGCGTAAGCAAGGAGACATCCACCAGAACCAGGAGACAGAACTAAAGCTAGCCCTCCCTGCGGCTTCATTTTCCTTAAACAAAGCATTTGTTTGTTACCAGGAGTAACCAGATGAGCTGTGCTGGCGAGTTAACACCTCAGAGCACCTTCCCCGGGCTGGCAGCACATCCTGCCTGCTTTCCACATACAATAGGCAGGATTTGTTGCCAGGAAAAATGGAAGAATCAGCAGCTGTGTTCCAAAACAAGGAATCCAGAATTAGATGACAATTTTCCTTCTAAAAGGTTTGCTTTTTTAACATTCACTAAGACAGACTTCATAGAAAATATAATTTGCAGGTGTTTCAGGTCTACCAGCTTGCTTTTCCCCATTTGACATGGTGCTGAGTTCCAGGAACAGCTTCCCTTTCACGTGGGGTGAACCCTCTACAGTCCAAGTTGATGGAACCTAATTAGTAAACACGTCAAATAATTTAAAAACTAAATGAAAATTTCAATCAGGGGAAAGAGCTGAAACAGCAGAAGAAGACCAGAGACAAACTGGGTGACGCCTTTCAACAAGGATGCAGGAGCAGCACCATGCAGAAGCGGCTCCCGAGTGCCATTTGCTGTACACATAAGGCGACTGCTGCTGTTAGTATCCAAACGGGAAATAAATCATTGTTTATGGCAGTATCCTCCTTAATTTTCACTTGGTTTTTGACTTCAAGAAATCAAGGTGACGCAGGGAGCCTCCTATTTTCCAGCTCAGAAGAACACAAGGTTTTCCCTGCCCCTTCCTCCTCCCGGGCAGCCAGGCTCACGCAAAGGCTCCTTACCCCAGTTAGAATTTAAAATACGGGTTCTAACATGGCATTTCCCTCTCCCCAGATTCTCCCCATATTCTGCATTTCTATATGCTCTTCAGTAGCCAAGATCTTTAACACATTAAAGGATCTTTCCATGCAACTGGAAAGCAAAAATCCTACAACTGTGGCCTTCCTAAATGCATATATTAAAGGTCACTTTTCAAAACCACTTTATTACGAAGGATTTATTTTGCTTCCTTTGGCAGCCTGTGGCAATATCCAGCTTTGTGGATAGTCTGTAGGAGTTTGGTTTCACCTGCACAGCACTTTGAAGACAAGCCAGAGCAGA